TTAATTTGATTTTTGATCCCATAAAACAAAGATGTAAATTTAAAAACATTCAAAAGCACCCAAATAAATTAAATTAAAATTACCAAGTCGTTTTAGAAAGATAAAGAATGTTCGATTATTTACAAATATCGAGACCAGATCTTAAAAGCTATAACAACCTTTTCTCGATAAATTTAAATAAATGAACATTTCCTTTTCTTTCGTTCCCAAATTTTAGGTGACGAATCAATTTTTTTGTTTCACTTTCGGGATATACTTTTATTTTAAAATCATTGAAAGCGGACCTCAAATCAGTTATGACTGCCCACTTAAAACGATTTTAAATTAAAAATATATTACTCTTAATCCAATTATGTAAAATGTTGAGTTATGCAAATAAGGCTATCATGCAAATTGTGAAAAAAATATCATGCTAAAATCAATTAAACAAAAATAAAAAAAACATACAATGTGACATACAAAAATTATATACATACATTTTAAAATTAAAAGTTATAAATTATGCACATTAACATATTATATATACAAATGTGACTTAAATACCAAAACGAAAACATGACATGCTAAACTATAAATTTAAAATATATATATATACATTGAAAATGACTAAATTAAATAAATGTAAAATTCAACATACAAATCAAAAAATAAATTAGGGACTTAAATAAAAACACGCATAAATATAGAGGATTTAACATAAATAATCTAAAAATTACAACTAAAATTACAATTGGAAAAACAACGAAATCAGGACAATTATAAAATGGCAGAATTCAAAAGCAGTCTTAAAGGTGACTAAAGTGTAAATAAAAGCTAAACCTGTGTGGACCAAATACTAATTTTACTTTAAAGTTACAATGGCTAAACACTAATTAATCCTAAAATGTTAATATAAAACTTAAGTAAAACTTAAACCTAAGCTAAACTAAACTGAACTCTGCCGCTCCTCACGTTTCCTCTTCACTATCCCTTTCTTCTCCAATCGTTCTTCTTCACCAACCTCACGACCACCGCTCAACGGTGACCAGAGAAACTGAAACTAATCCTAAACCAACATCCACGCCCCGGTTTTCCCTCTAGATCACAAACCCAAAACTAAGAGCTCGCTAAATCGACCTCCAGAAGACAAAAAAAACAGTTCGTATGTCTCTCGAAACCAAACCACCATCGCTCGCCTCTAGACACTTTGACTCGCACTACGCTGGCGACCTACGACAAGGAATCAATGATGAGGTAAAATATCTCACTTTTCCTACTGTTTTTTTTATACACCACATGCCAACGATCCCTGAATTCTAAGGTTGACGAGGAGGTTGAACCCCAACATTTACTCCGACGAAACTACCCTACATCAACGAAGGGACCATCCACCATATACAGAAATAAACTTCCCTCATTCTAAAGAATCTGCTATGCTGTAAACGGACGACTAAGTAAGTTACGACTAGTGCCAATTTCGATCGAGACCCAAAACAGACATAAATAAAATGGAACTAGTTTATATCTTTATTCCTATTTGTTTTAGAACATATGATGTTTATTATTTAGAAGCATAAATAATAATAATAACATGTTGATGGACTGCTAGTGTTGCTTTAGAAACTCACTGCTTGTGCTAGTATTGCTCTTAAATTGCGTAGGTGATATTGTGCTTTGTGCCAGTATTGCTCTTGAATTGCAATGGTGATATTGTTGAAAAATGAATGATGTGTTGCCTTTTACATTGCTTCCTTCCGCTCCCTAAAATGGATTTTTAACACTGCTTTTACACTATTTTTTCCTTAGTTTTGAATCAGGTAGTAGAACTCTTTTCACTTTTTTTTCTCTTCTTTTCTACAGTTGTTGATATCTCCCAATAAAAATCGACCCTCTTTTTTGATAGTTTCCAGTGGTTAAAAACCCCTCAAAACTGACCCCACTCTCTATCTAGTGGTTAATTTTAACTACTAAAAACTGACCCCAATTTCTCTCATCTTTAGCATGCCACTGCTGTCCATCGGGCTTGAGATGGACCTCCATCTGGTTTGGGCTAATTTGGGCTCTCATTGCTTCGGGTCTGCTCCGACTTGGCCCCGGATAAATCGAGCATCTACAACGTAAAATTTGGGAACGAGAGAAAAGGAAGTGTTCGTTTATTTAAATTTATCGAGAAAAGGTTGTTATAGTTTTTAAGATCTGGTCTCGATATTTGTAAATAATCGAACACTCTTTATCTTTCTAAAATGACTTGGTAATTTTAATTTATTTTATTTGAGTGCTTTTCAATATTATTAAATTTACATCTTTGTTTTATGGGATCAAAAATCAAATTAAGTTCGAATTTGTAAAGTTCATTGCAAAGACGTTAATTAATCGACTAGGTACCGATTTAGGGCGTTGTGGGGTGCTAATCCTTCCCCGCACGTAAGTGACTCCCGAACTTGTATTTTGGTAACGCAGACCTTAATTTGTTGTTTTAATTAAAATTAATTTTTATTTAAAATAAAAAACATTTTTGGGTGCCCAATCACATCCTAATCAAAGATTGGTGACGACTCTTTGAACCGTATTTTTTCGATCGTAAAGGAAATCCAATTTTTTTTTGAAACGAGAGGTTTTTAAATCGCATTTTTTTTTAATTAAATCAATCAAATGAGATAAGTCAAAAATTGATGTGGTTTTCAAAATCTCGTTTTTTTACCTTTAAGAAAAAAATCGTTTCGACAGAAAAACTACTTGAATGATCACCTAATTGTAGGTTGATGTAAAAATAACTATCAGTTTTAAAATTCTATCAGTATAATCGCTTAATTATTTAATTGATATCATTCAAGCCACATATCATTAATATTTAACCGAGGTGCGGACGTGTTAGTTAACACAGCTAGTATAGTTACATATTTGGTCCTCAATATTTTTACATTTAATCAATTTGATCTTAATTTAAGTTTAATTTAATAAATTAACCATTTAATCGGGGAGATGACATGTGTCGCTATACGATTGTGACACATGTCATAGCTGATATGTGTAGGCACCTGATTGGAGTGATTTTTATTTATTATAATTTATTTACTTCAATTTTTTTTCAATCTAATCAGATTGTGGCACCTATGGCGTGCAAATGGAACGCCTAAACCACGGGATCAAGTGCTTCAATTGGTTCTATAATTACAACAAACTTTATTTATCTTACAATATTGTTAATGATAGAAAAACAAAGAAATAGAATCATTCAAATGAGATTTCGAACATAGATCAATTATAAAATATATGAGAACCTAAACTATTTAAACAAATATAATATTATTTTATAATTAAATACAATATATATTTTAAATCGTATTTAACGTGAGATATAAGATGAAAAAATAATTTTTATATTTTTATATCTTTAAACTAACTTTAATAATTTTGTCGTACTTGTTTTTTTTATAATTTCATAATTAATTTTAAAAATATAAATATTAAACATATTAAACATATTTTTTAATTTAAATATTACATTAGATAAATATTAGATACAATTTAAAACATTATAATGTATTTAATTATAAAATATGAATCTTAAGCTGGCCATAATTTTATAAAATTAACAAAAAAACTAAATATATTAATTTTTCTCTCTCTTATTTTAATAATTTTTTTGTAAAAGTAAATATAAAAAATATTAAATTTAATTTAAAATTATAAAATACTTATTTTATTAATGTTAAATCTTACATTAAATACGATTTAAAATATAATGTATTTAATTGTAAAATATGAATATTAAATTCTTTTATATTATATAATTGACTTAGGTTATGATTTTATTTTATTTTTTTCTATCAATCACAATATTATAAGGCGAATAAAGTTTATTATAATTATTAAACCAATTGAAGCTTTTTTTTTTGTTGAAACATGTACAAAGGGCCGCCTAGCTGCCTATTTTATCAGCAATTAATAACTCTTCGACTTCCTTGAGTGGGTTTTTCAGAAACACTGTGTCTTCCTGAAATTTCCTTATCTGCTTGGCTATGAAGTTCGCCACACGATTAGCCTCTCTAGGTATGTGCTTCAGCTCTACTTTTCAATTTTTCTTTAAGAATTTTTCTATGTGCTGCAGTATGGTAAATTTTTTGTGCTCAGGCGAGTTGTTTTTGATAAAGTTGATAGCTTATTTGTTATCGGATTCCAAAACCACTTTTCTTTCTCCCCTATTCCAAGCCATGTTTAAGCCTTCAAGAATTCCCCAGAGTTATGCTTCCAAGATGGAAAGCATTTAGTGGTTTGGGCGTTCGATCCCTAGTAAAGGAGCATAAGTTCGAAATTTTGAAAAATGATGATTATTTCGATATTAACCCATAACCAAGTGGTTATTCAAAGTAGTTTACCTTTTTATTTTTTTGAATTAATCACTGGTATCCGATCTATTGACCGACTAATCCAGATCGGGTACTGCAGAGGCGAGGGTGACCCTCCCAATCCAGTTTGTTCTATTCGCAAACGCCATGATTCAAACTCCTGATATTGCTTAAGAAATCTAGTGTCTCATCCCACTAAACCAACTGATTATTGTTAGTTTACCCTTTTATTAAATGCCAGGCATACAATAGATTAAGTGAGTTGGTTGATTTAGGTGGAGAAGGAACCGCCATTGTGAGTGGCGCGTCACTTAAGATACCATACACGTGGGTTATGTTTGATTAAATTCTTTTAATTTATTAATGTTAAATTAATTAATTTGTTAAGGTTTTGGGCGGTAAAACATAAAAAAATATTTAATATGCATTGCCCATGACGAAAAGGAAGAAAGAAACAGAATTGTGATGTATTAAAAGAATTTATTTTAATTTAAGGATCAAAACTAATAATTGTATTCAATTTTCATCTTTAAAAAATAAGCACGTATTAGTTCACTGTTATATCAATGGAAGATAAATGTAATTCATCAGGTGATTAGACTAATACTGTACTAATTAATCTGTTTGATCCTTTATCGTACTTGTACAAAATTTAATTTTTATTATGATGAACACAAAACTTAACAACATCTGTTCAACCCATTTGTATTTTGACAGTTGCTACAATTTTCACTTGTTTGGAACCTCAACCGGCAACACAAACAGATAGAAGCTTGTCGGGGAAAACGGAGATCCCTGTTGTCGAACAGTGGTTTGGATTCGGCCGAGTTAGCAGTTGAAACCCCAGTCTTGGAGTTGTTCTTCCTTCCAAATGAAGAAACCCCAATTGATAGCTCCAAATCTAACTCTTGCTCGTTGCTTGGATATTTGTCCTGCTGTTGTTGTTGTTGTTGTTCTTCTTCTTCATCTGTAGTCATCCCACTGCTGCTAGAGTTGCCTTCTTCAACTGATTCCGCCTTGGCCTTAATTTGGAACTCGTTGATTTTGAAACCCAGAGATGGGTTTGCAGTGAATTTGGTATTTCTGAAATCCAATTCAGTGGGTGTATTTGTATTGGTAGTAGCTTGATTGAGTGGACGATGAGTTTGAGGATCGATTCCTCTGCTTAAAAGCTTCCTTTTGATGTGGGTGTTCCAGTAGTTCTTGATCTCGTTATCTGTTCTCCCCGGTAATCTTGCCGCTATCAAAGACCATCTGCCATTTCAGATATTCAATTCACAATCAGAAACGAAAAAAATAAAGAGATTCACAAATGTTTCCCTTGAAAAAAAAGAAGTAACTTGTTTCCGAGTAAACTGTGGAGTTGGACGATAAGATCATCCTCCTGTTCAGTGAAATTTCCCCTCTTAAGATCAGGTCTCAAGTAGTTCATCCATCTTAATCTGCAACTCTTGCCACACCTAAGCAACCCTGCATACATACATACATACATACATACATACATACATACATACATACATACATACATACATACATACATACATACATACATACATACATACATACATACATACATACATACATACATACATACATACATACATACATACATACATACATACATACATACATATATAATTCAAGACATCAAATTACTGAAAAGAGAAAAAAAAAACAAATAAAAGAAGGGGAAATAGGGAGCACCAGCAGCTTTGGGGAGGGAACGCCAGCAGCCTTCACCATGGATACGGATGTAATCAGTGAGACGCTGGTCTTCGTCTTTGGTCCAGGCACCTTTATTGGTATGTGCCTTTTCACAGCAGGGTGACCGTCCCATTACAATCTCCTATTCAATTCCTACCTTGTAGACACCAACTTTGGTCTCTATATATCTATATATGTAAGAGATTGAGAAAGTGGTAGCGGTGTTTTGTATCTAAATAATTATATTCACGTCATTAAAAAGATTATAAAGAGTATTACTTTATAATAACCTTAAAATATTAAGAAAATAATGAGGTGATTTAGTTTAGGAGAGGTGGGATTTGACTAAGTTGGTGGAAGGGACAAGTAGTTAGGGAGGGGCAGATGGGGGGGGGGTGGATTTGGTAGGTACGTATCTCCACCTCTGCGTCACTTTCATATTTTTTTAAAGGCTCTAGGTGTTAGGCCTCATTAATATTTTAAAGAGTCCCAATGTAAATGGACTCACTAATATTTTATGAGAACAAAAATTAAAACTAATTTTCATTTAATATTTAAAAATAATTGATTGGATCTTAATTTAATTTATAATTATCATTTTCATATCTAAAAAAATTATGAGTTTAAATATATTAAAATGTGCAATAGAACACAGGTGATTATATCTAGTTCTTAGATTAGCACTTGATGAATAAGAGCAGAAGTGATGAAGCAAAAACAAAATAATTATTGTAAAGGCCCAATAATTTACCATCCTGACATGCCCAATATTAGAACGGATCCAGAGCTTAATATATGCATGCCCAATTAGTGAACCCAAACTTTTCTTTTCGCGGAACAGAGAGAGAGAGGTGTGGTTGGCTCCCCCCCCCTTCCCTTCTGTTGCAGTTTCCCCTCAGGTCGAAAGAAACGATCCAAGGAAATGGAAGACATAGAGGATTTGTTGGTCGGCAGCGGCGGAGCTCCGCCTGGGTTTAGGCTACCTTTAAATGCTGTTGGAGTAAATCCAAGGAAGAAGAACAAAGCCAAACCCAGCAAGATTTCTCCATTGAATGACCCTCTCAAAATCCCTGGCACTCAGGTCCATTCCTAATTCCTAATGTAATTATAGTTATCAATTTTTAAATTTTTCTTCATTATTTTTTTAAATTCCTTTTTTCAGACTATTTATGTCAAGACTTTTGGGTGCTCACATAACCAGGCAAGTTTTTTTTTTTTTTTCTTTTTTAATGTTTTAGTTTAGTGATTAGCTTAATGGGTGGTTTTGAGGTTAAGATAAGTAAGACCCAAAACCAGTGCTTTACTCAATGAACTTCAATGCTATTTATATCGTTGTATATATTACTAAATTCTTTTTAGCTTTTCGTTCTTGTTCCTTCAAATACTTAGATTCACCAATAGCTTCTGTCTTCCATGCTTATTCATTCGATATGATTGAAATTCATGGATGCTAAAAGCTTGAAATAATACTTCCCTTGCCCTGCTCTTATGTCTTGTGAAATTGCATATATTTTCTGCAATAACTAGTTATTACCTATGTTGCTTGGGCTTTTCATTTTTTCCTAAAGTAACCGTGCTTGATATTTGTGTATTCGACATGGTATGAAGGTTGATCCTCCAATTATATGAAAAACTTAGAAAATATAAAAGAGCATGCCTTTTACATACTTGTATTGAATGCTCATTCTCAAATCAAATACTTATCAACATATATTTGACTATAAAGTATGGGGTTTGATCTTCCAATGATGTGAAAAAATTTGAAAGAACTAAGCATGCCAGTGTACTTATTCATAGAAGGCACCCTCACCCAAATCCTGGTAAAATAGGTTCATTGTGGAGCTACATGATTTCTATCATTTTAATTTTGATACTTTTGAGTTTTCATGTGATTGCCTTGTGATTTACACTGTTTTGGTTGAATCAATGGATTAAATGTTGTCAAGCGGAGGAGTTCAACACTTGAAAGTCATTGAATATGAGGAGGAAGTATTGTAATATTACCATGTTATCTATACTAATTCAAAATCTTTTATGCTAGAGATGCTGATTGTATTGATTACATGTCAAACCTGATCCATGGTTGGAACTTTGACATTCTGTTTGCAAAAATAGAATAAAGGTGTAATCCATCTTATTCATGTTCACACATCGTTCTGAGTGTAAAATCCAATTTGATTTTGCTATTAGTTTTTCTGATACTTTGACCACTTGTCAGAGTGACAGTGAATATATGGCGGGTCAGCTTTCATCATTTGGTTATGCAATATCTGACAACCCTGAGGAAGGAGACCTTTGGCTAATAAATACGTAAGGCTTTGACCCTTGAATTAATTAATTTGTTATTATCTTTCTCTTGATTGATTGCCCTCACATTATTCTCTTTAATGTTCTTTTAGTACTAGAGATGAGTTCATATATATCATGGTTTTAACAGTTATGAAATCATCAAAACATCAGGTTCTCATGACCTCAATATATATTCCTCTACGTATTACTTTACTAAGGAAAAATAATATACCCAAATACCAGTAACTTTTAAACCAGTCCATATAATCCCAAATTTTCTAATGGTGTCTATTGATATTAATTTTTTTAAAAAGTTCTTCAGCTTGTATGGGTCAGTCATGCTGAAGTGAAAGATCGATGAACATATGGTCACTGTTACTTTTGATGTCTGTCCCCATGAAGTTCAACTTCATTATATGCTTAACTTTTCTACACTGGTTTTTAGTTATGGTAATTATTGGCATATCAAGATTATGGAAAAGATGTCTTGGAGAATTTTCTGGTCTAAATTGAGTGCTTTTTCTTGTAGAGGACAAACCAATTTCACGTGAAGCTGCGTTTCTTAGGGAGTTAAATAAAAATTTTTGTTTTGTATTCCACTTGTGATTGGTGTGATGATTATAAGTTGCCTGAACAAGTCTGACATCAAATAAAGAGTAGGCATCATAGAATGAAAAACATCTACTTCCTCCAGCCTTGAGCCTTTGAACCTCTTTTCACTTCCTGGGATAGTCACTTAGAGGCACAAATATTTTTCTTTTCACACTCTCCCTCTCCCACCCTCCTTTTTACTCTATGGACCTGGTTGTTGATAAATAATGTTTTGATTAAAATATATTGCTCGCGCTGCTGTCTCATGTTTATTATCCTCAGAGGCATCAGAATGGCTAAAGAATGAAAGATATATAAGAACTACACATTTGTCTTAAAGGAATGACAGATAAATTAAACTACGCATTTTTCTTAAAAGAAATTTTGGTAACTTCTAACAATTTTCTCACCTGTTTTTCCACTCCACTCCACTACGTTCTCTTTCTTTTAGCCTTTGTCTAAACTCACCTCTAAACACTCTTTCTATGACACACTTCATCCATTAATTCCCTTCAAACACACTTTATGTTTTGATAATTTGATCTTTTTTTATTTGATTTGCAGATGCACTGTGAAAAACCCAAGTCAGTCAGCAATGAATACCTTAATAACAAAAGGTAAAAGTGCAAAAAAGCCACTGGTGGTTGCTGGGTGTGTCCCTCAAGGGAGTCGAGATTTGAAAGAGCTCGAAGGGGTCAGTATAGTTGGAGTCCAGCAAATTGACCGTGTTGTTGAAGTTGTGGAGGAGACCCTGAAAGGGCATGAGGTGCGGCTTTTGAACCGCAAGACTTTGCCAGCGCTGGACCTTCCTAAGGTTTAAACTTTTAATTATTGCTATTTCAGTTACTTGAATGGAGTTACTTTATGACCATTCTGTTATTGGACCATTGCATTTTGGTAATAGTTAGTTTCCGAATTGTTGGTACCAAATATATTGCTAATAATGCCAAAGGTTTTCCATAACTAAAAGTATAGATAATCTCAAATTAGCACAAAGATGATATTTTTTTACTCTTAAAGATTAATTTAACTTATATTTGTTTTATTTGATATCAGGTTAGAAAGAACAAGTTTGTTGAGATTCTTCCAATTAATGTTGGTTGTTTAGGTGCTTGCACTTATTGTAAGACAAAGCATGCTCGTGGTCACTTGGGGAGCTACACTGTTGACAGTCTTGTAAGTTATGCTGCTTGACTACTATATCTTTTTTACTTTTTGGTTCTGTTTTAATAACCTCTCCGGAATGCAGGTTGAGCGTGTCAAAACTGTTATAGCTGATGGGGTCAAGGAGATATGGTTGAGTAGTGAAGATACTGGAGCATATGGTATTCTAGTTGAAAATATTGTTGAAGTTCCCAAGTGCATGCAGATATTTATAAAGATTAACAGTTGCCTATATATACATATATATGAATACATATCTATGGAAATTGTTCTTATAGTTCATGTGATCTTGTAGGTCGTGACATTGGGGTTAATCTACCAATTTTGTTGAATGCCATTGTTGCGGAACTTCCTCCTGATGGGAGCACAATGCTACGAATTGGGATGACTAATCCTCCTTTTATTTTGGAGCATCTGAAAGAGATAGCAGCTGTTTTGCGTCATCCTTGTGTATATTCCTTTCTTCACGTTCCAGTTCAATCTGGCAGTGATTCTGTCTTGACTGTAAGTCCAAAAATTGATCATATAACATGTTTTTATCTTGATCATGGCCTTAAGTTGTTATTTAGTGACTGAAACAAATAAGTAAAAAAATGTGCATAATGCAGGTAAATGTCCTTAAATATATGCTAAATGATATTTGTCTTGCTAAGTATTTTTTTATTGTTTTAGGCCATGAATCGGGAATATACTGTGAGCGAGTTTAGGACCGTGGTAGATACCTTGACTGAACTCGTGCCTGGCATGCAGATTGCAACTGATATAATATGTGGATTTCCTGGTTAGTATGCAGATTAAGTTGTCTCATTTTCTTTATCATCCTTGATGCACTTATATATTTGGCTTTAACTAAGACACTTCTATTTTTGGAAAATGTTTACCAATATCTATGTCTGGTTTTAAATAAGGTAAAGAACTAAATACAGAAAGCAAGATTAAAAACAATTGGACCGGAGGTCAAACCAAATGGTTCCAGTTCTTGATACAATTGGTTCAACCTGCAAGACTTGTTGGTTTACTTTAAAGGAAAATTAAGAATTTAAAAATTATTTTAATGTGAAAAAAATGTTAAATGTAGTAAATAATTAATAAAATTATGTATTTGACTTAATAATATGGTCTTTGATATAAAATCAA